GGTTTCCATAGATTAATAAATAAGCTCATTTGAAAATGTTCTCAGGGAGCAAAGGTTTGCTTCCACATTTTCTGTCTCTCACTTATTTCCTGAACTCAATCTATTGTTTACCCCTACCCCCATTTGTGAGTAGTGGAGTTTTGCCAATAGGAACACTGCTAAGTGAGGCCTTTAGAAAAGCGACAGCCATTCTCTGGTCTTCATTCCTTGCCAAAATCCTTCTACTCCTGTCTCCATACGGCAGTCTTGTCTCATCCTATTACTTCCACTACTTTCAGCACGGTATCACCTCAGTCAGGTACCATCTTTTCTCTCCTTACAAAGGAAAACAGACCTAGTTTCTTTAACCTTTCAGCAAATTCCCCAAATCCCTCTGTCATTCTAGTTGCCTTCTGCTATGCCTTCTTTATTTCCAAAATATCCTATTTATAGAAAGAAACCCAGAATGAGCTCAGGACTCATCATATGACCTAACCAATCTTCTTCATATGACTAGAATAGTTTTCTCTGACTATTCTCTAACTTCTCTCCCATTCTGCAATTTTATTCAGTATATCAATCATATCTCTCTTCTTGTATTTTAATTCATGTAAAATGGAAAATATTCAGACTATATCCAATGTTATTGACATTAAGAGACTGGTGTTCACTGTGTTCAAGAGATTTCTAGAATTAATAAGCTGAGAAATGGGTTACAGTTTATGATCTGTATAACATAACATTAAAGTTAAAAGAATGAGAGCTTTTCTCCCTGTTTGGTTTTTTTTTTTTTTTTTAATTGTATGACATTCACTCTGATTCCTAAAAAGACTACTTAGCTGGCCCCACCATGTGAGTGAAACCCCTCACTGGGGAATTGTACCTTAGCACTCAGCTGTGCAAAACTAAGTGCAACCCTGTCACCTGGAAATTTGCTGAAAATGTCAAATCTTGGTTCCTATCCCAGACTCAGAATCTGCTTTCTAACAAGCCACCTAGGAGACTGGTGTATATATTAAATTATGAGATGCACAGATAAGCACATCTGAAAGGGTCCCTCCAGATGTTGTAGGCAGATTAGAACCCAAGCGTCTGTCTTGCTAGGCCCACTGAATTATAGATATTCTATTTTCCTCACTGATTTTCATTTGTCTTTTCATGATCTCTGGTGATTCCTTGAAAAGATGATTTCTTGCTTGATCTAACTCCAAGACGGTCTTATATTTAAGGATTTTGTAGGTCCTGGCCTGACATACTTTTGACTTGTCTCAGTCTCCTATCAACTTTTTATTTTAACAGTCATTTCCCCTTTACTTGCCACCCGTGTTTCCTTTCATTCATTTTTTTGCTTATGAGATGGTTTAGAAAGAGTCACTCAGTTCCTCCCCAGTGTTCCATGTGGTCTTGTTTCATCCTCATTATGCGGTTGTCTCATTTCTGAAATTGAGTTAAGACATGTCCAGATCTTCTTTCTCAGGCTTAGTTGTAAAGCTCAGGAATGCAAAGTGATGATTGCATACTAAACCATGAATTTCCTAAGGTTTTCTGTCTCTTCTTTTTGATGTTCTGATTGTTTTCTTTTTAAGTAAACTGGGTTTGGTAGATGGAAGATTTCTTGAGTTCTTTTTAAACATGAGCTAACACTAGGTTCTTGGCAATCATTGCCCATTCTTGTTTTCAGAAATCTTTCCAAATTGTGCATCGTGATTCTCTGCCTCTTCTCCTATTGCCTGTGGAGAACCATTAAAGATCAGGAAGTGACTAAGAGAGCCAATCTTTCTTCCTACCTGGTCAGAATCACTGCTCATAAACAGACATTTTTTTTTCTTTGTTACCTGTTTTTTAGGATCAGCAACTATGTTACCTCTAAAGCCTCTTTGCAGACACTATCCTTCAATGATTGTAACAAGTAATCCTTGGGTAATGAATAAGGGAAGGGAGCACTGAGGGAAGGAAAAAAAGACTGTCAATATCTTACAATAATTAAGTGCTCAACTCTGAGATTTCAATGATGCTTTAGGAAATTATTAGTATATGGGTCATTAGCCTTTATCAACCTGCCTGGCACAGAATAAGTGCAAGAGGAAGAAGGAAAAGTAGTAGTCAGAGAATAAGAAAAAAAAAAATAAGTCATCAAAAACAAGGTGAGATGGAGAACTCATCAATAACTACAACAAACTTATTTGTTAAGACTAACTGGGAGAAGGGAACAGGAGTGCTAGCTCATCCACATTCACCCTGATACACTAGAAGAATTCCTAGTCCATCATTCGAATGTGCTATTGTAAATTTCCATTTAGAAATCAAAAGAATAACTGTTTCAAAAGATATCCAAGCATCTCTTAATTTCCTAAGACAAAAAAGTTTCTCATGTCTGATTTCTATTACCTCTTTTACTAATTCTGAGATGCTTCATATATCTTTTTAATTGTGTTCTTGTACCATCTACATTTGAGGAGCCCTTTCTCATTCAATTTTGTAGCTGTCTTCATAAAGGGACTGGCAAAAGACAAGTTTTATAACTATGGCATTGGTAGAAAACTGTGTGGACAGCAAACAAAGCAAAAAACCCTTCCCTCTAGGTTGGGTTAAAAGTATTTTGCTTTAAATTTGAATTCACTGTTGGGTAGTGATCTTTAAGACACATTTGTTTATAATTCACTTTGAAATGTTCTTACCATTGCTAAAAATGAATGGGGTCAGATGAACTTGGAGAAGTGTGATACTCATATCACAGCTCACTAGAGTTCTGTGGGGGAAAAATGACATGACCATAGGAATAAGTGCTCCTGAGATTAAAACTGTAGCAGGTACACTGGTTGGCATCTATTTTAACAGGTAAAATGACTGCAACCTTTGCTTATATTAGGTACTGGATTTCTGCAGATGGAAAACAAAAAAGAATTATGTAAGTGTGTTTGTGAACATAAAAAGCTGAAGAGTTGATAATGAATCAATAGAAGAGAATTCTTCAGGTCACTGAGAAATCAAGAGAGAAAAATGTACATATGCCTGTATAATTGTCATGCACATACTTACATTATGTATTTTTGTAGGTCAAATGACATCTCTCTACTCTTCCCCACAACTCACTACAGCTAATTCTCATCACTCATCTTGGTCCATAAAGCTGTACTTTTGTAATAATAGCTCTAAATAGGGAGGGTCAAAAATATTCTTTTGGAAATATTCTCATTACAATAATGTGCTGTCCAATTCCAATCTAACCAGTCATTCATATTTTTAATCCAGAGGTACCTAAGCCAACAATTTAGTGTGCCCTCTAAAACACCATATTAATTTTCAGAATAAAGATGCATTGGAGGAGTATGTTGCCTATAGAGGCCAGAAACAGTTGAAAAAGTCAAAGAAATACATCACATGGATGACAATAAGAAATAAACATGTTCAGATAGAGGTCGTCTCCTGTGTCGTTTTAAGATTTCAGACCAGTCAGTACTGAAGTGACTGAATTTTTCAACAAGTGAGAGAACTTAATAACAGCATTAATGAATCATGTTCTCAATTTGCCCACAAAACCTGTACCCCAAGACCTCTGAGGATGGTTTTTGCCAACTGTCCCAGTCTTAGGGCAACATCTGCTGGTTAATTCATGGATGGACAAAAAGCGACAATATGAACAATATGAACAGTTCTTTTAGTTGGAGATAACTGTTGCCTTGGTGACCATAAGGGTGCTTGGTTTTCTTTTATGAAGATCCACCTCAAGTCTCCAGGCTCCTACCAAGTCTATAACTGTCTCTAATGAGGTCAAGGAAGCTGTTGTATAAAGTACCTTGGCTGGAGCCTAGAAAAAGCTGGGTTGACTTTGGAAACATCTTTAAAGAGATATGTGTGAACTCAACCCTAGACTTACTGCTAATACAAATAATATAGTACCCATGAAGGTTTCAAGGAACAGAGACCCATACACAGAATTAGGAAGTATAGCTTATGTTCTATAAATAAGGCATTCCTGAGATGGGAGGGGGAGGGGAGCCAAACCTTGATGCAGCAACTGAATGTTAATGTTCTAACTCATCCTTTAGTGTAACTCTGGTTTTATACATCAGGAAGCACTAATTACATTCAAACAGAGCACATCTGAATGGAATAAAGAAACTGGAAATTGGGAAGGACTGGGTGGTCTAAAACTTAAGAACTATCCACCATCTTCCGCAGCATCTCTCTGCCACATCCCTGCAGTCAATAGCGCCACAACCAGGGCCAGTGACGCGATTGGTGGGCTCCCCTTGGTGGGAACTCTGGAGGATGAGTAAAATTATGGTGTCTGTGCCAAAACGGCGAAACCTGAAAAGCGTCTGGGGACTTCCCAGGGCACTCGCGCTTCTCTGAGCGACCGGCATCTCCATAACAACTGGCTTACATTCATCTTCGCTTCCTCTGCTCGGCCTCGGCAGACACCGCCGAGAGTAGGCAAAGGACAGCTTCAGTGGAAAGATACCTTGAGCTAGCGCCTCCCTACGTTGGGGGATGTTAACGCTTGACCTACCGCTTATTTCCTGAGATTTCCGGAGTTCTGCCCAGGACTTCAGCAGAGCGCGGCGCCCCTCCCCCACAGCGCCCGTCTTTCTCTCTATTTTACACACACGGGGAGTTGGGGGAATTGTTTTATCGTTTCTCCTCCTTGAACTTCATCTTTTCCCTTTCAACTTACTTTCCTCCAACACGTGACCTCTCCACTTCTCAGCGCAGCCACTGGCAGGGAAGCGCGGTGCCAAGCGTGAGCTTTCTGGGAGACCCCCACCTCCCGCCTCCCGGTGCTCGCAAATGCAGCCCACCTCCCGGAGCTCCTGGCACTGGTTTCCAGCTGTGCTCACCCTGACACCCTGGGAGCCGTGGAGCCCCCATGTTAAGGCCGGGACTTGGGGGAAGAAGCACCCTTTGGACGCGGAGCCGGGAGCCTGAAGCCTGGAGCCTGGTGCCGATCCTCGCCTCCCAGCTCTGTGCTCTGTGGCTCGCCTGGCCGACTTAGATGCACACAGGGGCTGTTAACTCACATTTGGGAAGCCATAACCCATTAGAGCAAACGCAGTCATAACTTCATTCAACTCAGCCACTTGAGAGCTCGGCTTACACGGGTTCCTGTGGGCAACTAGTGGCTCGGCCCCGGTGCCTCTCGCCTAGTCATCAGTCCCTAAGAGGAAAAGGGAAAGTTGTCGGGCTGCTGTGCGCTTCGACGCATACTGTTGTTCCCGAGAACAAGTCACTTACTCCCCGCTCCATCACCCAGCCCCCACCCCCCATTTGATCATCACTCACGACCTCGTCGGCTGGAGACCCTTAGTCATGGTGGGGGAGGGGTGGACGAACTTTTCTAAGAAGTTTCCTTTTTACCAAGGGAGTCACAGTGAGTTGGTCACGTAAACTGCACGGAGATGGCGTCGTTGCCCCCTCCCCTTGCCCCCTCCCCGCTGCGCTTTTCTGGCAATCTTATTAAAGCGGTAGCCTACTGGTGCTGATAAGCAACAAGTTCCCCAGCGGTCTTCCCGCCGTAGCCTGACAAGGCGATGGTTTTCTTACCTGGCGACAGGGAAATCTCCTGAGCCAAGCTCATCTTTGCCAGAGCCCCAGGTGTGACCTGAGCTGTGGGCAAGGGAGCGGTGCACAGGCTGTTATTTTTATGGGGGTACCCTGATACTCCTCACTTTCTCTGGGAACTTTCTGTGCCAGGACCCAGTGACCGGCGGAGAGAAGGCAGCTTCAGGAAACACACGCTATATAGCAGAGCAATTGGACAGTCACTGGTAACCTCGCTCATTCATTAGAACCACGTAAGAACTCAAAGGGAAACGTGTCTCTCGGAGTGAGGGCGTTTGCGTTAATCTATAGGTTTCCAGCATCGAAACCAGTTGCTTTGTCTTCTGTAGTCGTCAAGGTGGTTGAGAGTTTAAGCTTGCGGATATTGCAAACGGTTATTAGATTCATAAGTCACAGCAAGTGGTGGGCGATCCACTGAGCAAAGCCGAACTTCTCACATGATGACTTCAAACAAGACACATTACCTTCCAGCATCTGTTGGGGAGACGAGATTTTAAGACACTTGAGTCTCCAGGACAGCAAAGGCACAATGGTGAGTAGCAATAAACCCTGCATTATAACTGAAAAATCTTGACATGTTGCTTAACAACAGGCTTATCACGGCTCTTCCTAGCACTTCACACACCAAAGAACAGCAGCTACTCAGGCCAGGGGAATCGGGTTTTTACACAGTGCAACTTTAATTGGAATCATTTGAGATTTAACACAGCAGTGTGGAACTGCGTGGAACAAACTTGGAATTGAAGGGGGGTGTTATACTGGCTGTTCAAAGCTGATGCTTCTCTGCCAGCCGTCTTGTGTTCCATTCCTTGCTTTACGTGTATGGTGTATGAGCATATTGTATGATTTATATGTGGGCATGTAATTGACATCCTTAAGAGGGTTAATTTCCATCTAAAAACAATAATGCTGTTAGAGGTTGGGATTTGGGGGTGGAGGGGTAAGGATGGGGTAGAGACTGAGTTTAGGTGAGGATAGGGGTGGAGTTGGGGGAGAGAGGAATAAGTCAGAAGTGCCTCTCACCAATAGTGAAATGGGTAATACTTCATAGATGAAAAGGGTCTCATCAACATGTGATCAACTATTAACAGGATGGCTTTGGCAAAGCCATCCGCACGTGACAAAACGTAAGGAAGTGGAAGAAACCGTCTAGAGCAATATCAAGTACCACTTATTAGAGATTTTTTAGCCTTTTCCTCTTGCTGCGCCGGGTGTGTGATCCGGGCGAGCAGAGTCCATTCAGCACCTTGGACAGAGCCAACGGATTTGTCCGAGGTGGTAGTACTCCAGGTATCCTTCTTTTCCTCGCTGTCGAGCCAACCCGGTGTCGCCCTTAAAAAGCGTCTTTTCCGAGGTTTGGCTCACACTGAGATCGGGGCTGGAGAGGGAGTCAGATTTTGGAGCGGAGCGTTTGGAGAGCGAGCCCCAGTTTGGTCCCCTCATTGAGCTCCCTGAAGTTGGCTTCCTAGCGGTGTAAGCTGGAATAGACTCTTGGCAAGCACCGGGTTGGTATACTGGGTTAACTTTGGGAAATGCAAGTGTTTATCTCCAGGATCTAGCCACCGGGGTGGTGTAAGCCGCAAAGAAGGTAAGCACCGGGGCGGGGACCCTGCATGCCCAATTCTGAGCTATTTTGATACTCGATCTTCTGGAAAGGACACGTAGTGGAGGGGAGGAAGTAGAGGGAGAGCACAAGAAGGGGTTGTTTCTTGGTATTTGCCCAGTTTAAATTGCCTTAGGTGAGAACCTGGGGCAAAGCGAGGTGGGGGGGGGAGGGAAGCTCAATCTTCCTGCGGATATGAGTTTAGTTAACTTGAACCTGCAAAATATGTGATTCAAATGTAAGATTTCTCTCATTTCTCCCTTTCCCTCCTTCTTTTCCGTTCTTTTTGCTTGTGTGTATATGTATGTGGTGTGTGTATGCGTACAGTAGATTCATTACTAATTAAGAAGCTTTTGCACAGCATTCGATTTCCTAAAATTTGACTTTGTACCATTTAGAATCAGACCATGTACCGAGGTAGCGTGCAGTGGGGAAAGGGGAGGTTGGGGAGAGGGAAGGGGGTAACACTGAATCTCTTCAAAATGAATCAAGGTAATTTCAGCTCTTCTAGTGAAGAGAATTCATTCTCTCAGTATCCTTCCCTCCCTCTCTTTCCCCCTCCCCCTCCTTCC